TAAAATAGGCACGTGGCTTTCCTTATATAATAACACATAAACAATCGTTCATTATACAATTAAAAAAATGAAATAATGATCCTGTGTGTTTTCATCCTTATGAGCATAGTTAAATGACCCTGTGACGACGTCCAATTAAGTATACAAAAAATATGTTCATGAATGAGTCAAGTACTATTGAAATACATGATAATGTAAATGCTAGATATTCAAGTATTGGGACAAATTATAAAAATGTATAATGACTTCAGTATAATACACAGTTTTATTAAACCTTTAATATTTTAGATTCTGAGCTGAGCTTTGAATGTATTTTATTGGTTATTATTATTTATTATATTATATTTTATATATTATATTATATTATATATATTATATATTATATTTTATTTATTATTATTGGTTTTTACAATTAAGTCCTATTTCTTTTAGTAGGCATAGTGTGCTTATTTCTGATGAAAAAAATTCTCTATATTTTATTAAAACTTAAATAATTTAGATACCATATTCTCTCAATATTATGAATGTAATATAAGTTTGTATTTTTCTAGAATTTTTTTTGCCTTTTTAAAAGTGTTCCAAATTCAAGGAAATATGTTTCAGTTTTTTTTCTGTTATATATTAAATGACCAGGTATTAACAAGGCTTATCAACTATTAATTTAAGTAATTTTTGGTTATTAGTATTGTTATGAGTAAAAATAATATTGATAATTTTTATAGTTTAAGTAGATTTAATATGGCTATTTTTTTTTAATTTTGAAATATTGAAAAGTATAACAGGTTTATACTACAGGTACTAACATGTAGTTACTACTAATATTACTAAATGACAAAAGTATATTTGAATAATTTTGAAGTACAGTTCAATATTATGATAAATGATACAGATTATATTAATTAAATATTTATCTACTCAAAATTGTTTAAAAATGTATGAATGTATAATGAAATGGTATTCTTTACATGTAATAACTAAATATAACTTACCATTTATAAAACTAACATAGAACTGTGGTTTGAAGGGAGTAAAATTTAAAACTTCATGAGCCCAATGGCTATCAGGTATATAACATACATTAGTTTATAAGACGTTTAATTTTTTGTTTTTTAATAGTATATATAATTACCGAAGAAATTATGGTGATTTATTATTATTATTTATTATTCTCGTTAAAATATTACTTTATTACACATTCAACAATCAAAAAATGATTTGAAACATGTATCTAAGTTTTAAAAATTTAATTTAATTATATTATTTTTATATACTTAATAAAAATAAAAATTATATTTCATTAGATACAATAAAGATTATATGTGATTCTGTGAAAAAAAATTCAATGTTGATTTCTAGAATTTCTAGTACATTTTTTTTCATTATTTTACATAATAATTATCGATTTCAAAATAATTAAGAATATTAAAAACACTAATGTTATATCTTGTAATGGCCTATTTATTAAAATTTTAAATAAGCTGAAAAGCTTAAACAATTCTTCGTTTATGCATAATGATAAAGATTTAAGTAAATTTATTGTTTTACTGCTAAAATTGTATGTTATTAATTTTGTTTTAGATTTAGTATCTTTATTAACTAAATTATTACTCTTTAGGTAAAAATGGATCGTTTACTAATAGTTTTCTAATATCAAAATTAAGTGAACTATTTTAATTGTTAACTAACAATTGTATATTTGTATTAAGACGGCAGTGGTTTACTACATTATAGTATACACGCTTTTATGCATAATTTTTGTATATTACTATCCAGGGGCGTAACTAGAAATATGAAATATAGGGGTTTATTTGTATTTATAAAAGAATAAAATATACAATTTTAGTGAATACATGTGTATATTAGTTGTAATATATTTTAAAATGATAGTATATGTAATTTTTAATAAACTCATTAGTCTTTTGACCAATCTCCAATCATAGACATATCTATGAAGTATTTATTACATACTTACATAATATATAAAACGTGCTAAGGGGGAGGGGGGCTAAAGCTCATTAGCCTCCTTAGGTCCCGCACCTGTTACGTAACACACCATGTATGTAACAATTGATTTTTAATATTTTTCCATAATATAAACAATTTTTTTTACCACTCATCAATAATAATTTTAAAACGTTCTGGCCAATTTATTCTGTAAATTCAGGCGTGAGAATGAGGTTTATATAAATAATTTAAATTTGTATTTTTCAATATACATTAATCAGTTTGATAATTTATGGTATTTACTTTTTAGTATTAAAGTAAGAACAATTTTTTATTGATTTTATTTGCAATAAATTAGCAAATTATAGTACCCATTTCATGCGTATTTTTAATTAACTTGAATGTATATATCATACAATCATTATCTGTTAAAATTTTAAGCTTTCTGGGAAGTTAAGGATTTCGAATAATATAAAATATATAAGTATACTTTGAACATATTGTTTTATTTTACTATACTTTTATTATAAACTATTGTAATATAAATTAGACTGAATTATTAACAGATAACAAAATTATTGAAGTTATTACTATCAATATTTCTAAAAATCAGGATATTTAGAATTTTTTAAATTCCGAATGATTTATATTATTCTTTCAGAATCTTTTTTTTATGAATTAACCGTTTATTATTTATTATTCGGGGATCAAGATTTTTAATTAAGCATAAAAGAATAATATGGAATCCTTAAATATAAATATATATATATTTTTATACATTTGTACTTGGACATATTTTGAATTTACAATATTTTTTAAATTACAGAAAAATCACGTCTCTTTTCAAATTTATTAATACTTTTCTGTCAAATAATGTATTATTTTATTATAGAGAGCATGGCTAGCATACGTTTATTTTATGTTAAAATGAAGTAATTTTATATAGTGACTTAACTAGTATTTGCAACTATGTAATTATATTAAATACTATTTAGTACCTAAAACATATTTTGTTATCCTTGTAGGTAAATGTATTTTCAATAGGTGATTGACAGATTAATTTTGATCACAGAGTCTGTCACAGCCCAGATTTATTCCTAGTTTTGACAATGCACTTAACCGTGCCATTACTTGCACAAATGATAAGAATCATCATGCATATGGGCTTTATATATTACAACTGCACCCTCATATTATCCAACCCTCTCTATTATGGAGCTTTCCGCTAAGATATTCATCGGTCCACATTGTTCCCGGAAACCTTTCACTGATCTGCAATCAGATCCTGATTGAAAAAGCGTGTGGGCGTGGTTCAACGGCTTTAAAAAATATGAATGTTATTGAGAAATTGTTTAGTATGGCTTGTTTTTGTACCCACGTATTATTTTTGTGGGGTTATTATTTTTTTAATTTTTTTTTTAGAAATGCACAAAAGGACCATAAATACGTTGTCACAGGGATTTTGGCATGTCCCCATTTATGTGTCTATTATTTAAGGATTAGTTGGGTAGATAATGGTAATGTTATTCTATGCATGCCAAGGACTCTGGTGTAAATCCTCGCAGCGGGGTTACCTTGGCCGCAGGGAGTCCTAATGTTATTCTAATGAGACGCTATGTAAAATATACACAAATTGGTATTACAATTTATGATGAATATGTGGTTGAATAAAATCTTTTATTTATTATAGTTGTATGTACAACACCCACGTTCATTATAATAGTAATTTATTTATTTTCTAAACATGTACTAATATGAAAAATATTGAAACAAACACATGACTAAAAATTATAATTTTACTGAAAATGACAGGATGTACCTATGAGAGAAAATGATTAATATTGATACAATATGTAATAAACTGGTCTAATAATCGTGAACGAAAATACCGTGTCATTATGTTGTCGTGTGTTCATTCATATTGAGGTACGCGTGTCATCCAAGATATTATAAATATAAAAAATTGAAAGGGGGGTTGATGACAAGATAAAGGGGACTTAACAATTGTATTTTAAAAAAAGGCCCCTTTTTTTCGATAAATCCTCAGTAGTATACAATGACAACATTGTTCGAATTAATACCTAATGTAGCACAAGCCAGTTTATGAAATGAACTATCGAAAACAATTATAAAGTTAATAATTATTTTTAAAATAAGTATTTTTAATTAAAACTTATATTTTAGTGGATTATTTGACAAATTGTAAATAATAATCAAATCAGTTTAATATTAATATATTAATAATATATATTATATTTAATATATTATACTATGTTTATTTTATAATTTTACTATTTAAAAAAATAACATTTTTCTTTTAAAATAGAATACAATATTATATTTTATATTATTTGGCTTTATTTTTATATTTTCCTTAATATTCGATGAAGATTGATGTATGTGTAATGTGTGGTGTGAATTATAAATTGACCAATATGACGTAAGATTGAAGATAATATCCGGAATAATATTTTAGGGTCCTAAAATTGATTACACTTGGAAATTAATTTGATAAAACCTTCTATTGATTAAATTACAGAATTTCATAAGATTATTTGTAAAAGGTTATTATACTTGAAAACTTTGTGTTTTATTTATTTCAAGTTATAAGTAATGAAAATATTGATTTAACGGATATTTAAACTGATAAAATTAGTTATTATTTTACAAAAAGCGAAAATGTATACCAACCATGTTACCTCATGATATTATACAAAAAATATAACTTAATATTTTAAAACATCCCTTTGAAGTTAAAAAAAATAATCGTTATTAAAAGCGAATCAAATATGCCTTTGAGTCAAAGAGCTCTTTGTAACGGGGTAAAGTGCATTTATCTGTTGGTGGGTGAGGCATTGGAACATCAAAGTGACAAACATCAAAGGTTTTGCTCTTCTACCATAATGTATATAATGCGGTGCCGACTGTGTTCTCTATCAAAGTTGCTTTATTCTTTGGCCTTTCCAAAAGCTATCTCCGTTGTTGGCCTTTGATGTCCGTCTATCTCCTTTTACTTATATATTTGGAGTGAGCCAGCCCGCCAGTTTCAGTCGTGTTACAGTCGTCGCCCGTGCGATATGTCCGTCGCTAGAAAGTAACTGATGAGGATAAAAACCAGGAGACGACAGGCCTCCGTAAAAAAACCTGTCAAAGTTCGAATCACCAACGAGTTTGAGTTAGTCAAAAAATTGGAAATTTGGTACACGCGATGGACTCGAAATGTTGGACGGCCTCTAAGTCCATTGAACTTGAAGAAGAAAACCATTATGATGTTGAAAAAGCTCAAAGTCTCGACAAACACCATGTCTATAATCACGCTGGATTGGGTGAAGAAGTTCATGAAAAATCGAGGTAATTTAGAAGGATACAACGATGATGAGGTATACGCTGGATTACTTATTCCTTTTGACGTTTACGGTATTCCTGATACATCATTGAATACCGCTGTCAACCCTGATCGAAAAGTGTGGCTTCTAATGGCGGGCAATAAGAGTGGAAGACACAGAACTCGAGTGTTGGTTATAGGTAAGAGATGGAGACCTCCTTGTATGGAGACAGTGAATATGTTAGGACAACCTGTTATATACGCAGGGGGAGGAGACGGATTTCCTACACAAGATTTATTCAAATGGTGGTTCGAGACCGAATTTTGCCCAGTCGCGTTATCTATTAACTCAAAAGCTGTGTTGGTGATGGATAAAACACCTTTTATCCCAGAAAAATGTGAATATAACGGAGTTTCATTGCAACAACATGATGGAGATTCAATTTCTAAGTCATCGTTGTTTATTGAATTTAAAGCTATTTACACTGCTTTACTACTTACTCAAGCTTCATTACATCAACAACCTGATAGATCGATTCAACACTTTTTCGGAAAATACACTTTAAAAGATGCTTTCATTTTATTACATAGAGCTTGGTTACAAGTCACAACAGAATCTTTTTCGACTTGTTGGAAAAATTGTACATATACTTCAGCATTAAAGTGTATTATTTTAAGTGCACAATGGTTAGCGCATGATCTTGGTTTGGAAGTATCTGATGACGATATGCTAATTTGGATTTTATCCAACCCCGAGGAAGTAACTGAACCGGAAAATTTGTCGACAGATTCCGAGGACATTGAAATTCCACCTTCCGCTACTCAAACGGTGGATTATCTTAAAAAGGCGTTATTATGGGTTGAAACCCAACCGCTTGAACCGTCGTTTGTTATTGCGATAAGGGACTTGATAACTTATGCTAAACAGGCACGTATTGTATGCGCTATCACTTCATCTTACAATTTCAAAACGAGAAAAAAATGTATTTTCAAACGATGCTGGCACGTAAAATAGTTTATTATTTTTATGTTAAAAGAAAATCAAACTTTTTGACAAATATCGTTTTTGATTGAAAGACTTATCAGTTAATAATGAATTGACATTTTATTTAATTAATTTTTTTTTTTATTCTATTACAGGCAAGCAAGATTGGTTTAGGACCAACCCATCCGTTCTTTTGCCACAACGGCGAGCAGCTGGGTACCCAACCACCACCCGCCCATATGGGCATACCTCCTTACCAACTTGACAAAGCACCCGGTGAGTACATTTTTTTGATATCGATTTTTTTCTCACCCTTTAAAGCTAAAGAACCCCTAAATATGAGTGCATGTAGACATTGACGAAGCCAATCCTTTAAAAAGGCCTGCGGTGAAAACAATACCGTTGTACCATGATAATTACGGTGACACAAAAAAAGGGGTATATAAAAGTCCTCGACTCTTTAACAATTATTCTGTTCACCCCTATGGCAATGTATAACGAACCTCCTGGTCAAATTTTTAATCGGTCCCTCATTTGTACGGTTTATATATTTTAATTGAAGTAAAGTTTTCTGTAAAAGTACTACTTTTTCTCGTATATAAGCCCAAGAGTGTATCTTTTGAGAGTGTAAAACATTCAAGTATGTTGGGCTCAATATCATAGTACCCTCGACCTAATTTTGTTATAAAATTTGTACCATTTTGAGTTATTTAAGTATATATATTATACACAATGTTTATAAAAAAAAAAAAAACGTTAAAAGTATACACAGCTAAATTATGTTGAAAAAAATATTGGTTTTTTTAAAAACAACATGCAAATGGTCTTATGATTAAAAAAAATTTAGATAGGATGTTGTGATAATATATAAATAGTATTCAAGATTATAATGTTTAACAAAACTTTTTTCGTGGTTTAACTATCGAAGTGTTAAAATTATTAATATGAAAAAAATAAAAATCCATAATGTACAGAATCGATACCCTTTTGTTCTTAGTTGAGTGCTCTTTCAAAAATCTAAACGCATTTTAAGTCCCTTTTGTTTACACCGCTTGAGTGCTTTTTTCTATTATCTCAAATATTCTGATTGGACCAAATGGTACATTTATTCAGTTCAATGAAATAATATTTATTAATATATTTTCTGTTTAATTTAGGACTTCCAAGGCCCTCAATGTACCCATTTCCCACAGGCCAATACCCGTACCCGTTATTAAGTCCGGACATGTCACAAGTTGCAGCTTCATGGTGAGTATTTATTTAAAATTATCTATAAAAAGAAAAAAAAAATCTATTTCTTATATAGGTAATTACTAAATATTTGTTTATTTAATCGTATATAAGAAATTTATAGTACTCAAATAATAATGTATTTGTTATTTTGCTATATTTCAAAATTTAAGAATAATAAAATTATTGAGTAGGGTAGTACAATGAACAAATAATTTAATTATTTTTAAAATGTTTATTATCGGTTAAGAAAATACTAAAATAAAATAAAAACTAAAATAAATTTTGTGATATTGTTTGTTGTGTATCGCTAATTCCAAAGAAATCTCTTTACAGTTTCTCGTATTGTTTTTTGGGTGCTAAAAGATTTAATATTTTATAAAAATATAATAATTCTTCTTCTTCTTCTTCTCCTTCGCTTTTCTCCCAACCATTTGGGGTTGGCCAATTTTGACCTAAACCTCATATATATGTATAATATATACACATATATACATATATATAATAATTAAGAATTAAATATATGAAATAATTTAAAAGTAAAGCGGCTATAAAATTTACGGAATTTATCTAATTTGGAATTAAATAAATATATAATTATAAATACTAATTTTGACGTCGAATATTATTTGTTAAAAAAAATTATTATTACTGTCCTTTTATTTTAAATTAAATAGCAATATGCATTTTTAAATATATGCTTTTATTTATATTCTATTGTTAATATTCTTACTTTTAAATTGTATGATTGGTCTATTAATTTTATGATTATTTGGAAACGTAATGTTACCATAAATAAATCAATTTTAAATGAAAATAATTAACTACTTACTAGAATTGTAAATTTGTGTTAGATTTTTTTCTTTAAAAACTAAATGGCTTTGTATCATTAAATGCACTCTTATCACCATTCATAATAAAATTTATTAAAATATACGTATGTACAGTAGAATTAATAGTATTAGGAGTATTATTTTATTTACATGCTTAAATTTACACTGTTCATAATGCTGATAAATTAATTTCCTATACGTATAAAAACTAAATCTAAAGAGCATTATAGTTGTAAAATATTACATTACATTTATAAAGAGTAATTTATTACCAATCAAATGCTACAAATATATTTACTGTATTGTAGAAAGTGTAGAGGCGTGGTCAGTTGACGCCCCGTGAAAACCTCTAATCTAGTTTGTCCACCGCAATGACCCTTGTTTGTTCTTATTCCGGTCAATTTGTTACTAGGAAAATCGGTTTTCTCCCCTTATTTTTTCTCAGTCTGGGAAATAAATCGGCTTTTCGTAGCCGACGGCTTTCGTAATTCCCCAGAAACGATCTCTTTACTCCCTCACAAAACTTATCTAAGCCGATTTTCTTCCACTATACTCCCCATTTTTTACATTTTTTTTTCTTCAAACACATGGGTTTAGCCTTTAGATTATACAGTTTTCTTACTATGTTTTTTGTTTTATTTTCAGGCACACACCAGCCAGTATGTACCATCAGATCTCATCGGCTGGAACTGGTTTCAGAGGATCCTACCCACCTTCTTTAGGCCCAAGTCTTACTAGGTAAGTTTAAAACATAAAAATGTTGTGGTAATTTAATAAATTACTAAAGTATTAAAAATGAATAAATAGTTATAAATAGATAAAAAAATCTTAAACTGTATTTTATAAAAAAACATTTAGTATTTAATATTAATTGTTGAGCTGTCAGTCTCCGACTAAAAGCTATATACAAATTAAAAAACATTAGTATTAATAATCGATTGGATTTTCGTTTTTTACATAAAATTAAGTACATGTAATAATTTACTTTTAGATTTTAAAGAAAAGTAAATAAAATATTATATGTAGATAAATTATGACAATTCTTACACGATTGTAATTCTTTCTATTTTTTTTAAACACAAAATATTAAAATTATCATGTTAACATTAGGTACTTAGTTTTGTTCACATATTAAAATGTTTGTCAAAATATCTCTCAAAATGTGCTAAAAAACATTATATAAACTGTTTAATATATTTAAATAGCATGAATATATTAAAGTATTAAAGATTTATTAGTTTTTTTAAAGTTTGATAAATAGATATATTAACAAGTACATCGTTTTCGTAAACTATCAATAATCAGTAATGCAATAATATACAGTATTAATTGACATCGATTTTACAATAAAATTATTTGATTTTAGTAAGTTTTTACATGAAATATAACTAGTAAATAGATATTTAAGTTTTTTCTCGTCAAAAACATACAACCATCGACGTGTACGTTAGGCACAGTAAGTTATGTGTAGTTAATTATTGTGTAGTTAGTGTAGATAGTTATGTAGTAGTTAGAATAGTTAACTATTCACATTTGCATCCCCCATACACAAATTCGTTACGTACATTTTCCCATTATCAATTTAATGTGATGCTCTGTTGACATATTGTATAAGTAGATCGTATTTAATATATTATATTATATATTTAGTATGCAAAATAGTAAAAAAGAAAAAAAACTGACGAAAACAATACTAAATTTAAAAAATATATATCTTATTTCAAAAATTTTTACATTTTACCTATCTATATAGTTATGCTAAACTTTTTAAACTTTTGTATTATAAGCCATGTACAGTTATATTAATTTATTTTTTTTCATGCAACACACAAAAATAAATAAATAGTTATATAGATAAGAAAATAAATTTAATTTTAATTTTTCAATTTTCATGTAGAATATATTAACTTTTCCATATAGGAAACTTGTATATTGAAATGTATAATCGTTCTTACTCCATATTATGTCAGTATTTTTAGCAAGTAAAAGAACATACATATTATTAAAGTTTTCTTGTTGTGCAGGAACCTACTCATGAGAGTTTTTAACTATATGTGGTAAAATGTCTTGTATGGTGATGTACATTCATCAATATTTTGTGTAGTTAATTTTTGAATATTTAAAACCTAAAATGGTTATTTTATTTTGTAACTCAGTATTCATACGAGTCCTTTTATGGCTTAATGTACCAAACTGCGTAAATATATTTTTTTGCAATAGAAACTGCAAACAAATTAAAATAATTAGCACTGTTTATAAGCTTGACTAAAATTATTATTGAAAACATATACTTATTTATTTATAACATATTTACTCATTTTTATTTATAATAATTTGAGTTGTAAAATATTATTGATTTCACTTAAAATATAAAAATAGTATTCATATAGTTTATTTTGGAAATAATTTATGTATTTAAAGAGCTGTTTTCATTTTTTGAAGGAGGATTAGAGGACATACTATATTATCATTTCAATCAAAATATTGTTTATACATATATATAGTCAAATTCATTTATTTATGCATATTTTTTTTTTTTTTTAGTGAACTGTATAGGTTTTCGCCATCGGGTTTGATGAGTGGTCCATCACCTCATCATCATTTATCCCATCACACTCACCATTCTCATCCAGCGATTGTAACTCCAGGAGTGAGACAAGATTTACATACGGATTCTAATCACAGGTATATTGCAAAATTATACATTGATTACTGTTCCTTCAAATTAAAAAAAATAAAAATATAGAGGAATTTCCTTTTAAGCTGCCTTAGGGAAGGGGTTTTTGTTGATTGTGTAAGCTCTTTAATTGCAATCGTACTACTATATAGAGGAAGTTCTAAAGGGATGTCGAGGGGGAAATTTGCATGTGGATTACAAACTGTAGGGAGCTTTTTTTAAAACGCTCCCATTGGTGGTTTTCCGTGGGATGGTATCCATGGTTACGAATTTATTGAACGCGCCCCTTGTTCGAGTCAGGGATTCTCCGTACTTCTACTTGTATGTACTCTTCTTTTATTTATTTTTCTACTTTACCCTTTTGAAAATGTCCCAATGATTCAACTAGAGTGCTTAAATTGCACTTCGTTAATTTTGATGTACATATTCTGTTTATTTTTTTGAGTGATGATAACATTTGAAGGAGACATGCTTTCAATTGTATGATTATATTTTTATAATTTTATTAAGAATACATTATTGAATTGAATTTTTGCCTGTAAACAGTATAGTTGTAATATTATTAATTTATGATAACAATAATATATAACTCGACATCAGTGAAAAACATTAATCAATTTAATCCAATGACTAAACATTTTACGATTTATGATACTAATAATATTACAACGTGTACCTTATTTATTTCTAAGTACTATAGATACCTGAGACATTTTCATACTACGTTATTTTTGTTTTTAAATGTATTTTACTAACATTTTTTTTTTTTCATAAAAATTAACTATTTTACATGTTTTATGTAGTCTTATTAATTGATTGTCTAGTTTAATATTCCTAAACTTTTTGTATTTATCTTAGTATAATCCAAAAGTTTTGAATATTTTTACGTTTAACTTCAATTATTGATAAATATTTTTAACAAGTAAGCGATATGCTTAATAATTGTATATTTAATATAAAATATATTTTTTTTATTTTTTTTTTCGTACCACCAATAATCTTCCTGACTGAAAATTTATGATTTACTGATTTCTTACCATTTGCTATTTTTTAAATTTTCGAATTTTATAAAAAATAATGCTAAATAAAAATTTAATTTTTATTTATCGTGGAAATAATAATAGATACTTAGTATTAATATTTGTGCTAGATTTATTATAGTTTTCAGTAGAATTTAAACATTTTTTTTTTTTTTTTAACTAAATTTAAATTTATGATATATTTGAATTTTAAGAAATAAAGACTATAAAAAGCTTTTACGTTTACTGTTCAAAATTTTATTATAAAATTTTTGATTTTACAATTTTATTACGGATGTATTTATTTATTTAATCATTTAACTTAACTATGTTGTACTTATAATTACAATTAAAATATTTAAGTACTCAATTTCTTAAAAACACGTATTTAAATACACTATGTGTAAGTCAAACTAAATCCAGAATTATTCATCAAAGGATATGATATAATGCTTCTTACAACTTTGAAGATTTCTGATTCGATATTTCAAAATCAAAATTTGTATTTTACTTTATTTATAATAACATAATGTTCAAATATTATATTAGTTTCAGAGTATATATAAGTACATAAATAATAATATATTTATGTTTCCATCGTAAATATTGTTTTGATAGTTCAAATATTAGTATTCAATACTACAAAATATAAATATAATGTTTTCCCATGGAGTCAGTTTTTTGCATTTAAACCAGGGATGGAAAACATTTTAAAAAAATGTTACAAAACGAAAAAAAATGAAAAACGAAAACAATTAAAAAAACGAAAACGAAAAAATATATAATAACAAAATCAATTAATAAAACGAAAACAAAAAAAAATATAATGAAATCCAAAACGAAAACGAAAATAAATTATAGTATTATACTATTATTATTTATTACAAAAAAAAATGTATCTGTTATCAAAAAGTTAATTATTCTGATAACTAATAGGTAATTGTTGACAAATAAAATATATTAATAGCATAGCGCAATAATTTATTGTAGTCCATATGGCACATACACATTGCAATAGTGACGGTAATATTCTATTATCATTCACGACGACGGTCATGGATCATAGTTTAATCAATAACATGGTTGCCACTTCAATTATTATAATATGATAATATGATTATATTATTATTATCTATTGATTTTAGCAGTTGATTAGGAATTGATTTTGTTTTATAATTTATTATACCTATCCATTATCCTATTGGCTATTATAGTTAATTACAACAATAACATGACTATAGAAATCTGAAAAAGTGTTTTACATTACGTCTTTACTTACTTTTTAGTATTTCCTCTTTACCAATGCAATTTTTAAAAAAACGTTTTAATTTAAAATTTTGAATTTTATTATTTTCATATAAAATATAAATTATAACTTAAGTGCATTCCTAAATTCAGTATATTGAATATTCATTGTATCTATTATTGGTATAAGAAATAAGAATATATATATAAAAAAAAATTATCAAAAACGTTATTTGGAAACATTAAAGAAAAATAACGTTTTAAAAAACGTTATTTATAAACACTATTTAAAAATAACTTTTTTAATAATGTTAATCAAAAACTTTTAAAAACATTAAACAAAAACGAAATCGAAAAAATCAAAAACGTTTTCCATCCCTGATTTAAACGCTTCTAATTAAAAGATAAGGGTATAATTGAATACGTTAAAATTAATCTTGTAGTATATATTTTTCAACATTCAAGTATTTAAAAGAAATTATGTATCTTACTAAAAATACAAATCCTTTCATATTCAGAATACTCCCTAAATCCATAATTTAAGAATTATAGGGTGCTAATGTCAATGTACTATCAATGTTTATGCATTTTTCTATGAATATGATAAATGCCAAATATTTAAAATAAGTACTCATAGAAAGTTTCGTTTTATTTTTTTAACACTAAATCTAATAAAACAACATTTAATTTAGATGTTCAATAATGACCCTTATTATAAGGGCTTTATGATGTTGAATGATAGATATTTAATTATAACTTATTTATTTATAACTTATTGTATAGGATTATAATTAATCACTATTACATTTCTAACATTATAACGCGAAGTAATTTACATTAATTAATTCAAAAATACAAGTAACATCGATGATCAATATACTATTTAAATGGATGTATTTAATGTAAACCTAAGCTTTTGTAGTGATTTAATTATTGATTTTACGCCATTATTTTAAAGGAGTGTTATAATTTTAATAAAAAGATTTGCAGGTAAAAGTGCTATACGAGAATAATATTTTGAATTTGTAATGGTTTTGCATAACATTTCGATTATAAATTATATGACTGACTAATATTAACTATTTTGGAATTTGGATCTTTAAGTGTGGCAACTACGGACTGTTACTTTTTGCAAACTTGAAATTATTAAAAATCTGTTTGATGGTAATCATTTGATTCTTTTATAACCAGAACCGTTGCTAGCAAATATTGATGGAGGTTTATAAATATAAACTAATTCGCCGACTATTTTGTAAAACGAAATTTTACAATACTTAAATTAATTAATTTATTGATGATTACTGACTATATAATTAGGTCTTTTAGAATTAGGTGGTATTACATCCCCAATCTTAACGCCAGCCCTGCTGATATACATTTAAGACCAATTTGTTTTTTCTCGATAACACAATGGTTCTGAAATAATGTACGGAAATAATGCTTTCATAAAAGTGTATACAACCACCCCATCTGGTAACTAGCGCGCTCCACTATTAAAATAATTCTATAAGCCGTACGTGCCATCTATTGGTGTCAACTTCATCCCCTAGAAAGTCGCCATCTCTGAGAATAATAACGAATGATTTTTAACCAAACGCACTCTATGAGTCGTTAGTATTGATGCACACATATCGCTCGCAAAATACCAATTTAACAACGAAAAAACAAGAAAACAAAATTTTTACGTGGCAATGATTGTCCGTCAAATCGTAACGGTGTGCGAAAACAGTTCAAACACTCTAAGAAATATTCGAATCGGTGCTGTATAATAACGTGAACACCGACAACGGTTGTTCATTCGTTTGACACTGTTCGATCGGAAAACCGTTCGGCGTGTGGTACACTTGCAGGGCGTAGTGCAAGGGTATTGTTTTTGTTGTTGTTGGTGTTTTTTTTTTTCTTTTTTCTTTTTCCATATCTAAAGGGTGGTATGAATGACGTAATGCCTTCGGCATTCCATCATTATTGACGTTTATGGGGGTGAGCTCAGTGACCCCGCGGGCGCGCAATGCTGAGGGTGCAGGCGGCGGGCCGCGGGGAGTCGGCGTGAGAGAGGGAGAAAGACACAAATGTCACGACGGCTGCGGTGGCGGCGACAACGGGACTACGCGGAAATAATAGTAATACGACGCGATGTAACGATAAGACCGTAATACGCACCGGTCGGTATCTTTATTTTATCCGTATTCCGTCCCGGCGAACACCGTTCGTCGGTCGATCGTGTTGCACCGTGCACGCGCGGCAGTGCCCCGTCGGTCGGTTCGTTCGTTAGCGTTCGCGGTCGTGCGTGCGTGCGCGCGCGCTCGTATGTGCGTGTGTGTCAGCGGTGTGCGGGTGCGCGAGTGTTCTTGTCGAAGACGGATGAAAACGGTCTCGGTCGTCCGCGGCGCGACGTTTTTTCCGATGACTGGTGTTCCGGGTGCACGCGCGCGGTGTCGGCCGCGGCTCGCGCCTCGTCGATGCGGTGCCGTCGCCGCCGTTCGCTGTCCGCTCGGTACGACGATGGTACGGAACACTACTGCGTAACAAGCCATTACGACGACGACGACGACGACGAATCATCTCCGGTGAGGTCAAAAGTCGTTGGCGACGCTACACGATTTATCCGATTTATCCGGTGCTCTACTATATGGAACCGCTGAACCTCGTGAAACGTAAAAACCGACCGGTGGCCGTGGTCGCCCCGTCCACCGTGGTGTTGCCGCCCGTCATGGCGGCCGCCACGGCGCCCGGTTTCCCGTCCGGGCTGCTGTCCAGCCTGTACATGAACAGCGTGCTCAACGATCAGTTGTTCCAGCGGGCCGCCGCGGCCGCTCAGTACGGCACCGCCGCGTCCTTCTGGACGCCGGCGAACAGGTTCTGGCAGGTGATGCAGCAGCACAATTCGGCCGCGCAACATTACGCGGCGGCCGCCGCAGCAGCCGCCGCCGCCGCCGCAGCCGCGGGAAACCCCCCCTCTTCGACCGCAGCCGTTACCTCCTTGTCATCGTCATCGTCGACTTCCTCCTCGTGTACCGCCAGCACTTCTTCGGCCGCTGCTGTGATCAGCACGCCGTCCGCCGTCGATCACCGGGACCGCGATAAAAGGTCCGTCTCGCCCGCCAATTCTTGCACCAGTTCATCCGCAGTTCGGTTGGTCTTTTGATCTAATATATGCGTTAAGCTTTCATATTTTAGTCGTCTATACTATCGTCGTTTTAAGTCTTAAATGGTCGTCGGTCTCGTTTGCAGTTTGATAACAAAAAAAAAAAAAAAAACAGTAATATTTATAGGCCAGCTGATACAGATTGCATTCCACTAACGATTTTATTTTTTCCCTACGTTTAACGAAAATAGAAGATGCTCATTACTGGGATACATATACCTTTCAGCTGAAAAGGTTGTTCTAGTAGTTAGTTATTCGTTTTTCGTGTACAACATTGAATCATAATGTGAACCCAACGGTTTATGTCTTACGTGTTTTTAATTCACGCCAATGGTTTTATGTTATTTGCTTAATGTTCACGATTTGTTTTTCAGGCCACAAAACGACCATGGTAAAAATTCATCGTGCTCGGATGGTTCAAAGCACCAAGACGCTGTCCAAAACAGTAATAACCAAGGTAATGACTTTTACAGTGTAATGCGCATGTTTAAGAGAACTAAGTAGTTACTTAAATATTTCTCCCTGGTCTTGTAGATAAAAAGAAGCCTCACATAAAGAAACCTCTGAATGCATTTATGTTGTACATGAAAGAAATGAGGGCAAAGGTGGTGGCAGAGTGTACGCTTAAAGAAAGTGCAGCCATCAACCAGATATTAGGGCGACGGGTGAGTGTCTATAATACAATTCTTAAAAATGTGGTATATATTTATGTACATGTTTAAATCTAAGAAAGATATGGAGAACACTTGTTAAAAAAAAATTTAAAAATAAAAAATAAAATTAGTGGGAAAAACCGAATTGAAAAAGTGGTTTTGTGTAATATAGTGGCACTCTCTGTCGCGAGACGAGCAGGCCAAGTACTACGAGAAAGCGCGCCAGGAACGACAACTCCATATGGAACTGTATCCTGGTTGGAGCGCTCGGGATAACTATGGATACGGCGCCAAGAAGAAGAAACGGAAGAAAGAGCGCGTACCGGTCATAGATGCTGGCTCAGGAGGTAGTCCCTCGTTATTAATCGGCATTATATTTTTATTTTTGTTTTTCGTGTCAACGTGCAAATAGCAGCATGCAGTACCGATCCAGGCTAAAGATTTTATCTTCATTTTTATCATATTTGTTTATTATTCATAACGAGAACCACATTTTTCCCTTTTGGTTGTAGCTCCTGTGCTTGATATAATGGTTCTTGTTCAATTCACACGTACTTTCTGGCTGGTTACCTTTTACAAACATAGCATTTTGTATTCATATTTATCTAAACGTTATTCCTAAGTAATATGCGATTCGAAAACAAGTTATATAGTATATAACTTTTTATGCTATATTTGATCGGTTTTATAATGTCGAGCCTCCTCCGTCTTATAAAATATTCCGTAACATCTTGCATTATTTTGGTGTGAACAATGGGCAATAATACTAACATTCACATCAATATCCATATATACATGTACTCAATATTTAAATTAATACTCATACAATGGAATTATTTGTTCACAAATTTGTATATATTTATATATAATTGTATTCTCGAACTGTTATTCAGCCACTAAACTCATTTCTAAACATTTATTTAATGATTTCTACCATTTCAATATAATTGAATACATATTTAGCCGCATGTTAGACAAAAATTTTTGTCTACGTAAATTGTGTCTTGTATGTGCATCTAACCTGAACAATATGTTTTTATTCTTATTTTTAATGTATGTACATACATGTATACGTATTATGTATTTATATACATACGTATATGTGTGTATGATATAATGAATCGTTATACTAACTATTAACAATCTTATAGCCTGGTCGTAGCTCGAGCATAATGGTTAAAACGAAATACGTGCTTGTGGTGGTCGTGCACCAAAAGATATATATTATATAATATAGTTTGGGATGTTTTTTTTAAAAAAAAAAAAAAAAAAAACTTTTTGGTAGCTTGCTTTTAACGTTTGTTTTATCCAAGAGATTTGTTTCACAAGAACTTTGCCGTACAAACACACGTTTAGCTCCAAATAATTAAACAGAATGTCAATTTTTCTTTCGTGAGGTGAAACGATAATACAATAACACAATAAATTTTTTTTTTTTTATTTATTTTTTTTTATTGTTACCAACTAGGTCATACTCTTTCTTCCGTTTTAATTCTTGGTGGTTATTTGTACGAGACAAATGTATACCTAGTGTTAATCTTTTTGTTTTTACTCATGCAATTTGTCACCTTACATTTGTGTATCTGTGTGTGGCTATATAGTGGCACGCGTTAGGTCGCGAAGAACAGGCCAAGTACTATGAGCTGGCGCGTCGTGAAAGACAGATACACATGCAGCTCTATCCGGACTGGTCGTCGCGCACTAATGCGACACGGGCCAAGAAGAGGAAGCGCAAACAAGAAACCCATGACGGAGGTAGAACCCAAAAAAAAAAAAAATCAAATAAATAAAATGAATATATTTTATTTATTTTCTATCTTCATACTTTTAATTTTACGCTAATGCGTTCGTTTCCTGAACATTAGACGCTTTTTTGATGCACGTTCCCCCTATATACTTTTCCGAAATCAGAAAAACAAGCGAAGACAGAAATATTTGTTTATTTGTTGTTGTTTAATTTTGGAGTTTAACGAGGTGTTTGTCTGGCGCAATATGCATGGTACCCAAACAAGGCAGTTTTAAAATAATGGTTGTTGTATTTTGCTTATGAACGCTCGGCCTATGCTTTTCTTTTAATTTACACTTATCTTATTGATTTTTAATACAAACATTTTTATAAAATAGGTAATAACAGCATGAAAAAGTGCCGTGCGAGATACGGTCTTGACCAGCAGAGCCAATGGTGTAAACCCTGCAGGTAATTATTGACAATGATATTTTGCCATAATTTTATTAATAATTTAGCATAACTCAATAAATAGAATATGTCTAATACAAGTATAATTATTCTGGCTCCTATTATATCCTCATTTGTGTACTACTTTTTAGTATGTTTCAAGCTAAAAATAATTATGTCTGAATACATTCGGCTTTCTACATTTCCAACATCATCGTTATAATATAGAACCAATGAACACAAAACCATGTATTTAACTATTAATGACAAAGAATATTTTAAATATTATTCATGAAACAATTATTCAAATAATTGGTGTTCGATAAACATACATTAAAAAAAATAAAAAGCATTACAGTTAATCTATGTTTTCAAATTTAACAATACAATTATAATGTTTTGTTTGTTTGCATACTTCTAATATTCAGATACTTTTAAGATCAATTTGTTGATGCTTTCATAAAATTTGTTCTTATTTAAATAATTTCTAATGCTTCGAGTTCTTTATCAAAATGATTTGAAAAATATAAATGTCATATTAACCGCCGCAAACCTATTCAGAAAATGTGTCTTGCCAGAGAAAAGTAATCTTAATGATAAAGCTTTAAGCCTTAGCTTAATCCATAATACAAAGCTTTTTAACCATATCAGTCTGAAGCACGAAAATACTTTATGTGTATAAAAATATATTGCCCACTTATTTGAGTAATTTTAGAGCATGTAGACACATTTTCTGAACATTTAGTAAAAATATATATTTCGATTTGTGTATTTTTTTTATTCATTTTTTTTTTTTTGCAAGACATCCAGAAGATGAAATAAGAATGACTTAATTTACTGAGTCAATTTTTTTTAACTCTGGATAGTCTTGTGTAGTGTTATTTTACTATGTATATAAGATAATTAGGATACCTATAATATTTGTCGAATTTTGTATTATGTATTGTGTGTATGACGACTGATATGGTTTATAGCCCTGATGGAACAGGCGGAGGAAGCATCTTAGCACAACACGTTCACGGCTCTTCCAACGCTGCTTCCCCACAGGGGCCCACATATGTTAATCTGTAAAAAAAAAACAAATCCAAATATAAATAACCCAAATAATCATCAATTTCGTGAGTTCATTTTCCCTATATTAATGCGTGTGTTTTTTTTGTCAGTATGATGTATTATGCCTTATTCATCCGTTTTTTCTCGTTTATTTTATTTTTATTTTTTTAGTTTGTTGTTGTTTTTATTTCACTGTTGTTCTTACCATTGCATTAACCGTTTAACTACTAATTAGTTAGCTACCTAATTATTGGATTTGTTTGTATTTATATATCGGAATTTGACTATAGTTTAGCGTAGAAGTTTGTGTGAACCCTCGTATTGTTTTTACCGTTTTATTTTAGCTAGCAATTTTTTTGTTAAAAAAAAATGTTCAAATTCTTCTCATGGTTAGGTATGGTTAATTATATTTTATATCAAATTATTTACATTATAATATAGGTTATTCAGCAGATAATCATATTCAGCTTATCTGTTTATACATTTTCTGAACCATAAATTGTAGTTTTTAAGTTATTATCTGATAAGAACATGGCATTTACTCGAATATAATGTTGTATTATTAATTTTTAATCATCACTCGTTCTCATTCCCGTGCAATTTTTAATGAAAAACTACACTAGTGTTTCTTTAGTCGCCGTTATATTCTATACCATATGCACTATAAATTATTTTAAATATATCGATTCAGCTTAAATATTTCATAATCATCGATTTATCGTGAAACAGTTTACACACATCTCGTAATAATTATGATATTCTTAATATTTAAATGAGGAGAATTTGAACGCGCCTTTTATTATTAATTTTATAGTCTTATTATTATTATTATTATTATTATTATTATTATTATTATTATTATTATGGTTGTTGTGATTATTATTATTATTATTATTATTATTATTATTATTATTACTGAATAAACCCACATTTTCTGAGGGTTGTGCGTGCGTTATAATTTTACCGCTAATATGTGTATATTTATTATTTTATTATTATTTGTCGCCAACCCGTATGAAATATTGCGCGTTATGCCGTGACAACACATCTGACAGTTGGTATGATTTGATTTCTAGGCGTAAAAAACGTTGCATACGGTACATCGAGAGCGGCGGTGACTCGGGCAACCAGTCGGACGACAACCAGTCCAACGGCAGCCTGGGCCACTCGGACAACGAAGAGGCCGACTCGGTGTCCAGCCCCGGCGGCCTGAGCGCGCTGTCCAGCCTGACCAGCCCCGGCATGCTGACGCAAGCCAGCCTGTCGCCGGCCACACCTCTCACCCCACACGTGTCCGAGTACGAGTGCCCGATGGCCGTGCGCATGCCACTGGCCGTGGTGGTGCCCACCAGGCACCACCAGCCGGTCGGCACCAACCCACACGACATCAACAACCCGCTCAGCGTCAACCAGCTCACGGGCGGCGTCAACAACAAGTGCCATGCCAAGGAACAAAGCGATCTGAAAACTGGTGTTGTCGTCCAACAACAGCAGCAATCCGAACAACACCCCAACAACCGGGCCCTGCCCGCCATTAGCGTAACGTAGCGTAAACAACGCGAAGCAATAGTACATTGACACTCGCTCAATTTATCGTACATTTTAACCCCCTATCTCCCCCCCCCCTTACCTTCGGCTCTATGTTACTCTCATACTTGTGTTCTCATCATCTCTGCCCGTCTACCTGGCTGTTTCTCTCTCCCTTTCTCTTTTTCACTGCTGCATTGGGACGAATCGATATACTCGTAAGTATATGCGAATATTATATATTATATGATACGTGAACGAAATAAAAAATGAAAATATTCAACAGTACTTTTTGCAATACGATAGCAAATCGTGTCATGAACGTACAAATGAGTGTAGCTCTGTCCGTTCATTTGTTCGTACATAATGTATTCATGTGTAAACGCGCGCCCGAAAATATAACGATAAATAATGACCACGGAAAATCAATTGACGCATACATTGATTGAATATTTTTGATTGAAACTCTTCCTTCTTATAAAAAAAAAAAAAATACGTTATTATTTTTTTGCCATTTTGAGAATCTTTATAATCCCTTTGTACCTTAAAGACTAAACGTAATCGTTTTAATTAGTTGTTAACCCTATGTTGTGTGTAATTCGAGAAATATATATTATGTATGTCATTTGTTTGCCACTAAAAATAAAATACACCTTAAAAAAACTATTGCTTCGTTATTATTATTATTATTATTATTATTATTATTATTATTATTATCATTTTTATTTTTATTATTATTATTATAATTATTATTATTTTTTTTTCTCGAAAGGATCCAAGCAAACTTATTTTTGAAATACTCTTTTACTGATTTAAAATTAAATTGAAACGGTACGATTAAAAAAAAGAAAAAAATACATTTTCATTTACGTGTGATTGATTCGTTCGTATATTATCATGTATAGGGTTGTATTCGAGAATATTACAGATGATATGTTTTATTGTGATTTTGTGGTCCATATTTCTATAATGTGCCCGTGTACGATATATGCCCTTATATATCGTGTTATCACATAAGATCAACGCAATTATTTTAACATTTAAATCACTTGTTATTTTTAATATGTTCCTATGCCTCACCTTAGTAATGTTTCAACGTTACATTATATACCGTAGATATCAGTAAAATACATTATGACCCATTTATACACAAGTATATAAATCTGATATGCAGCCCTATAATTGTGTTTCTATCTCCCTTTATGGTTGTGCCAGTTGTAAAAATTATCTATTGTGAAAATAAAAATGATTAAAGTAACAAATGAATCATTGTAAACATACTATAATATTTTAGAGATGTAATTCAGATTAATTGGAAAAAAATTGTACTTATAGATTTGTTTAAGTTATATATATATACATATATATGTAATAAATATATTATTATTATTATTATTAATATTATTATTATTTTTTCTTGGCAAAACGCTAGTCATTTTTGCCAGATTTATTAACGTACAGAACCCACTTATATACATTATTATTTCAAATTTGAAATGAGACTGAAGACAGTTAAGATAATTTGATTTCAGATTTAAATCTAAAATGTACGTTTTTTATACATGTTTTTTTTTTAATTTATGTGCCAAATTTTCATAATTTTATTTTCGCCATAAAAGTATATAATTTGTAAATGTTTTAATAAAAGAGAAACATTAAGCACATTCCAAAATTGTCTACCATATAGAAATATCGTTAAGTTTTTTTTATTTTAATTTACGGTGAATTAAAAAAAAAACAAATTGGGACTGTTACTGTTGCTAATATTATTTTGTAATATTTAATTACTACCTATAGGTACATAAAATATATATATATGCATTGTAATAAGATATAATGTCTAGAAATTGTTTTTATACTTAATTTTATTTGAAATGAAAAAAATGTGCAATTTGTTTTATATAATTTTATTTGTTTTCATGTCTTGAGTTTTATCCCTCCAAAATGTTCATTTTAACAATTTTGTACACTTTTTTTTTTTTGTTGTTCTACCGTCTTTTTTACTATAAGTGTTTTAGTAATTCGAACAAAATATTCTGTTGATTCTAATTTCCTTTGTAATATAGATAAAACATTTTATGTATAAACATGTGCGTACGTATTTATTTATGTATATTGTTCTATGGAATAATATTCTCCTTCTCATTGCGGTACAACAGTAGTATTAATAGTTCCTTAATATCCAATATATACCTATTCCGTAATTGTTTTTTTTTCTAATATCAATTATACTGTAAATAATTTGATGCCATTGACATTACTTTATGTTATTGGGTCTCGAGACCGATAAAACTTTACATTATCTCGGAATATTATATACTCTGATAGTAACAACAATTTATTAGGCATTCCATTGGATGCCTTTGGACCGTCACTGTGAAATTTCCTTGCTGCTGCAATATGGACGAAAATAACGTAAGTAACCATTTTAAAATATCTACATATTTATTAGTAATTACTTGTATGATGTTAACCGAACATGTTCGTTATTCGTTTTTTTCCCTTCCACAAATACATAACTAATACACATATCATGTGTATTAAATGTATATTATATACACCTAAATAAGTACTTAAATCGTTGTGCACAGGATCGTGCACGTAATAAATAGTACAATATCAAAACGTTAAATTGGTTGTTTCGCTATGTTTTGGGTTTCTAATGAAATAGCGGAGTTCACTCGTGGTACAAATTTGCGATTATTTACTTATTATCATTTCATTTTTCGCTGTGGCTCTGGTGTATCGAAAGAATCATGACGTATTACATGTAGATATAACACCTAAGCCTATGCAAATAAACGCAACAAAAACCGTATTACGGAACACGTCAAACAAATAATAATTATCCGCTCGTAGACTTTGAGTTTACGTGTACATTACCACGAGTACACGGGACCGCTGCGGGACATGCTTGTTTCGTTTTTACTAACGACGAACGTGAAAGATCTAACACATAATTATAAAGACCTATACTGTATCGTGCACTTGTGCGTCCGCACTATTCGAATGCGCAAAAATTTAAATGTTCAGGTATTGAAGTACGTCGTTCTGGCACGAATTCGTATAATCGATAGTTATTATCACAATTGCCGACTTTAACGATCATTTACTTTTATTTTTTTACTATACACAAAATAAATCCACTGTACACAAAAAAATACTTAACTTGATAAACACGTTTTTCGTCCGTACACGTATAACGTTGATCTTTGCACACGAAAACAACACGCTGGCGTCGTTTGCGGATCAAAGATGCCAACCGTGTGATGGTACTATGGTCGCTAAATTTTCTGACATTCGTAGTCGTTTTTCAGACTGTAAACAGAAAACCTGTGTCTATTATAATAGTATGGTCTCGTGTAGTAATATTAATAATAATTGTTCACCACAGCTATAGACCATTGCGGTACGTACGTACGTACGTGTTTAGTGCGAATTAATCGGTTGCATTGAAACGCTCGAATTTTTAATAGATTTTAAACACCTCGAATGCGCACCGTTACACTTTAAACCAGCGGTTCCCGAACCATGCACTGCTGTGCCCAGGGGCGTATTTAGATAGGGGCCATGGGTCCCGTTGCCCAGAGCGGCATATTTTTAAAGATTTAGAGGGGCGGAAATTTTTATTTCGTACTTTACACAATTATACAACTTACGCAAATGATTTAGCAACGTGTTTTCTAAATGAGTGTGTACAATTTTAAGGCCATATAAAAATATTGAAGTTAAGCTTACTACAATACAGATATTACAGTTTATAAGAGAACATAATTTTAATAGTGTTTATCTTTATACTGGAGTAGCTTTATGTATTTTTTGTATACACCATCTACAAATTGTAATGCAGAGCGTTCTTTTTCAACACTTAAAAGAATAAAAAATATTTTCGCTCTGCAATGGCACAAGATCAGTGCTTGGTTTTAGCGGTATTAACAATTGAAGCTGAAATAACCACTTTATTAGATTTTGAAAAAATAATTAATGATTTTGCTAGTTCTGAATTAAGGAAGAAAAAGATTTAAATTTTGTATTTATATTGTATATCTAGCAGTTATTAGAGGTTTTAATAAATAATATTAATTAGTAACAACATTTTTTTTTGACTGGGGGGGAGGCAAAATATGTGTTGCCCTTACCCTGAAATTCCTAAATACGCCACTGGCTGTGCCCTAGGAGCACCGCGAGCACTATCTTAGGGCACTGTGGTCTACGGTTCGTAACGAATAGTTTAAAACGTATAGAATTTTATTTTCCTTATTGTTTTCGTAAAATCTTTATAGCGAATACTGTAATATTTTCTATTGTATATTCAGACATTCTCGTTTTAACCTATAATCATAATAACAATGTTTTTTATTTATTTATTTTTTAAGTTTACATTTTAATAAAATTAATAAAATTGGTTAGTCTATGGGTATAAATATATGAGTATTTTTTTATTTTTATTTTATTCTGTCGTTTATGTTATTCATAACAGTGACTAAATTGAGTTAAAAAAAAAGCACCGCGGAAAAAAAAAATTTGGGTATCGTTGCTTTAAATGATTGCTGTAGTATACGAAATAAATATTAATTATTAAACTGTTTAAAATATAATGATAGATTGTTTTTGCTGACGCACTATATTATAATATACTATTAATAAGCATAATGTGTTTATGGAAACGTGTGTAAACAAGTTTGTCGATTCATCCTTAAATTTAAGATCATATTATAAACGTTCATATTAAACACAAAAACTCGTATGGAGCATTTATAAATTTAGTATAATATCTGATTCCGACTAAAAATTATTGAGTTCAACTCAAGACGTAAAAAATTATAACATTTAATTATATATATATATATATATATATATATATATACTGTATACTCTTTATAAATACTCTGTATTTTATTATTATTTTTAAGAACTGGTGATATTTCACCCCGGTAAGATTTTTTTTTCTGTACACGGATACTTTACGGTTGATCATCCCGTCTTAAATTTAAAATTTGTATTATAGTTTAGATTGGTAAGTTTATAAAAAAAAAAAATCTCATAAAACTCTATCAACATATTAAATAATTTAATGGCTCAACTATAATCAAATAGTTTTTACTTAATTACATATGTCATGATTAGGGCTCGGATTTTATAGCAAAATAAATCCTTAAAAAAGTATTTTAAGTAGCTAAAAAAAGCAAAACAAAGCTTTTATTAAATTAAATTTTAAAACACAAGTTGAAATTACACATTAAAAAAAAAAAGCAAAAAAAAACATTACATTTAATTAAAAAAAAAAACAAATTGAAATCACACATTTTACACAAACTATACAAATTAAATAATAAAAAAGAAATTTACGACCATGCATTTGGTTAATTAAAAGTCATCCTATTAGATACTAATAGATTTTTATATATAAAAAATGACCTTTTATATATAATAAATAAATAATAAATACTTCATCTGAAGTATTTGGTGCATATTTCACGTAAACTAAATAATTTAAATCATAATGTTTTACATTGATATTTAGTGCAGTGCCATTATGAATTTTATTGATTTTTTGAAGTTCTACCCATTCATTATTCTTTGAAAAAACACTATTGCATTTTTTTTAAATTAATTTCGCTGTTTCACCATTAGCTTCTTTTAATTTGTGTTTTGCTTCTAACACAGTAGCTATATTTTTTGCCAAAGGTTCGCCTTTTTCATTTATGGAAATAATAATGTAGTTAAAGCATAATATACATAGAAATATGTTAAACTTTCATGAAAATGATGTAAAAAATAAAAAATAAAACAAAATGGGGAAAAAAGAAAAAAAAAAAGAATAAAGTTTACTACATTGAAATCAACTAATAATTCAAAGCGTGTTTTATATAAGAATTATCTTTCTATCACAAACTCATTAAAAGAAGCATTTGCTACAAAATTCAAGCCCTAATGATGATATAATCCGTGATTACAATTAACGGTGACATCTTTATTCTTTAAAAAGAAACTCCTGGACATGCTACTGAATAAACCGGTAAACAACTGTACGTCTACTTTAAATTTCGAATGTTATTTACTCGATTTGTACAATCAGTAATTGTTGATTTACGTTCTCACGTAATATTGAAATAATCACTATTGTTTACATTTCACTGTAAACTCAAAAGTAATAATCCCAATTATAGGTGCATTAGTATGTTTTCTTTGCATATATTTAGTTAACGTGTTAACACACTCTGCGATAGCCACGGTAGGTAATGTTCCACGTTTTTGGACATTTAACAAAAATCGAACACCGATTGTCGTAATATTCTTGTTGACGCGGTTTTATTGCAGCGCAAACACCTACACATAAAGGACATGGCTAAAAATAGACGTAATTATGTGATATTTTTCTACGCAGCAACACTGTCTGATACGAACTATTATGTTAATCGTAATATTCACTACAATTGCTGAGTTTCGAAGTTTGACGATCGATCGTTCTATCGACTAGCATTTAAAATTACAATCCAGTTAATGGTAACTGTTCCGATTCGCTATTTGTGAAAATGAAAACAACGCTGTTGCACGTACCGCACAGCACGTAAGCACGTATGCAAAGCGCGTAAAATGTCGTCGAATTCGTTTTAAGTATTTGTTCAACGGTCGCACGCATCAAGTATAAATTATACATTCTGATGTAATGCAACGTAAATATTGAATGTACTGTTCACATGATATCGAATTCAACGGTCACTGCGATATAACGTCATATGATATAAAATCAAGCAAAAAAGTGCCGAATGTTGTACAATGTAATAATCGATGATGATGATGATGATAAGGAGATACGTTTATAATAAAATGATAACATTACTGCAACAATAACAGCGCCTGTTCGTCATTTTTCATTATCGTATAACAACAACGTTCGACGAATGTCGATGGACGACGGCGAACGGGGGAGGAACGGCAACCAGTGTTAACGTGACGTGCGCTGCGCTCGCAAGGGCGGCCCGTCGTCGGCAAATTCGGTTCGGGATTCCGCCCGAACGCTTAAAACCTAACCTCAAACCGAACGGGTCGGGTCTGGTCACACTGTTTTTTTTTTTTCCCCTCGTTCTCTTCGTCGTCGTCGTCGTAATGATGGTTAAAAATATCGTACTTTTAACCCTAGATAAGATATTTTTAATTGAATCTTAATGTGCGCGCGCGCGCGCGCTCGATCAACACAAGTACTAAAAACCGTATTACATTATTTTCGTTTATCATCATTGCCGTTATTATTATTACCATTATTTTATTACTATTATTATCATTACGTAGATCGAAATCGCACATAAAGAGCAGCAGCGAGCCGTGCTCGTGGTGCACGTGCTGCGAGCTGGTGTCGTAACCGCGGAGCGCGCGCGGGTCAAAAGTCGATTACCGTGAAAACATCATCGTGACCGCGACGACGACGACGACGTTATCACACCCGTCATCTGACCGCCGCTGCCGCCGCCGCGATCCGGTCTTACGCGCATTATTATTATAATAATAATAATAATCGTTTACATTATGTACATATCGGTAGATTGAAATTATGTCGCGTGACAACTACTGCAGCTGCGTCGGCCGCCAATTATCACTCGCGTCCTCGTCGTCGTCGTCGTCGTCGTCGTAGTTCGCCCGTTGCCGCCACCGCCGTCGCTCGAGCTGTTCACAGCGCCGACTCAACCCGAGGTCCGTGCTGCTGCTGCTGCTGCTCCTCCGTTTGCCGCCGCAATCGAATATCTGTCCGCTGCCGTCAGCTGTTTCTCGGGTTCGCCGTGCGTCCATACGACATTTTGTTTTTTCTCTTTGTTCCTTTTCCCCGTTTACGGTGATAAATTTTCGTCGCGAAAACGGAGGTCCTAAACGCGAAACAGGACGATGGCGGGACGACGACGACGTCGACGGATGCAGCGCAACAGACCGCGTGCGGACCACCACCACCACCACCACCACCTTCTCCGTCGGCACAACAGCACGCAAACGGCGACGGCGCCGTGCGCACGGCTGAAAATCTACGAATCCCGTTGACGGCAGTAAGCAGCGTTTGAAATATTATATTGTTTTTTTTACGACTCTCAACCGTATCGGGTAATTATTCTATTACCGCATGAGCAATCGTGTCGGGCGATAGAAATGGAGAGAAAAAAGAACTTCAAAAGCCCCCCTCCCGTTTCGCGGTCCTTTGTTCGACGACAACCGTTGATGAGGCTCGCCGCGATTAATCCGACTTGTTACGCGTTCCATAACCTTTAGTCGGGTGGACGAAACTGATCTCGTCCGCGCTTGCTCACCACTGCCGCTGCTGCTTCGACGCTTCTTCTCGCCGCCGGTTTTGTTCAGTCGTCGAGTGTTTTCCGTTGGCTCGAGTGAGCATATATCTACATTACATATATTATATATTTTATAGGTAACGCCTCCTATCTGCTTCGAATAACGAGTTAATTTTTTTTTGATAGATTTTCCTGTAGGCAGAAATTAACCTAGTAGCAAGTAATTTTTCAGTAGTCGGTTTTCTGTTTTCTTAATTTTTTTTCCTTTTTCCTCGTAACGGTTTTGAATGTGGACACAAATGTACATCAACTTTTCTGTTCAATACTTGCATCGATTTTACTTGTTTTAGGCACCATTTGTCTCTTTTACGGTTTGTATATTAACCACCATACCTTTGTAAATGATATACTACCGTTCGATGTCAACGGTTCACAAGAATAATTGAATACTAATAGGGTTAGCTTAGTATTGTTTTGCTGTGGATGTTTTTGTATTTTCTCTTCTTGCAATTTGGTCTTCAACATTCATATTTTGTTCTTAAAATTTATCTTGTAATGGTGTCCAATTAAAATGTATGCTTGTTTTTAGCACCTATCATCACTTCTAAATTCATAATACAATTGTAATGTTACAATATTTAATCTTAATAGCTCATTATTATTAATATTATGTATTACCTTGCAAATCTATATTGAATTTATCATAGATATTTAAAATATTCCCACTTTTTAAAATTAATTTGAATTAATCAAATAATTTTAGCTATGTGTATTCATTAAATACTATTACTACCAATTTCTATGAGTAATATGTAAAATTTATTTATATTTTAGGCAGAAATTGAAATGGAAAACTTGATATCAAATGCTAATACAGTTTTTGGTTTGGATCATGTGACAAATATTATGAAATTTCATAATTCATACCTTGAAACATTTTTGAGCTTGCAAGAATTCATAATTTATGGGGAAGGACCATTGCCAATTCATTATCGGCATTATATCGCAATAATGGTAAATAAATGTTGATTGTTAAACCTAAACAATAAAATTAAACCAACTTCCTAGGTTTACTTCATATTTATAATTATAGTATAAAAAGTTTTAGTTTTATATTTAATTTTTTAATTTTTATTTTTTACTAAACTCATTTAGTATTTAATATGTGCTTTTCTTTATTTTTTTTTGAATTATTTGAGGTATGGAATGATACCAAGTATTATGTAATTAAAATTAAATTGTTTACATCTAAATTTAAGTTTTTATGTTCAGTGTTTATTCTATTTAATCATTTATGAGTGATTCATTCTTATTACATGTATTTAGATTATTTATATAAATTTATCTTTATTTTTAGTATTCAATTTTTTTACAGGCTGCTGGGCGTCATAAGTGTACCTATCTGATAAATTTTCATAAAAAACAATTTTTAGAACATGATGGAGATCCTAATTGGTTAGATGGTCTGTCACATATACCGCGTAAACTACGTAATTTATATGAAATCAATAAGATTTTAGCACATCGACCTTGGCTAGTAACAAAAGAAGATATCAAAGTATGTACCTATTCTACTTCTTATAATATTATTTTATATGTTATGTTTATATTTACATTATTTTTAATGAATTTTAAATTGCAGGTACATTATTACATTTGTACTAAATATATCAAAATAATGACTTAAATATTTCTTAAATTGATATAATTTTCTACTAAGAACAAATGTTATATTAAGTTTAAAAGATAAATTCAGTCAGTTATTATATGTATTGTGTATTTTACTTTTGCGACTGCATTACATATTACGTATAGTTTATCTACAATGTGACTTATCTAAAGACGGTTTTAAAAGTACATTTTTAAATGTATAATTCGTTTTTTTATATATCAATATTTGTACATATATACCTACTGATATTAAAATATATCTTGCAAATGATGGATAGATGTAGGTATTTAAAAAATGTTCATCTTTATGTATTATTTTTTTATTAATTGCATTTATGTGATGAACCTTCCATAACATAAATAATGATTAAAATATAAAATTAAAATGTACCTATAAAAGAAATGAGAGAAAAGTTATATAAGTATAAGATAAATATGTATGTATATGAATTAATGGCAGAAGAGTTAAATCGAGTAAGAATAAATGTAGCTGGAATTTTCAGTATGAAAATGTTCAAAAATAAGATACAATAAGATGGTTGATAAAGAGTTTTTTATTGAAAGTATACATTGAGTGGCAGTATTGTAATAAACAGCACCTGCTCGGTCCTCGGTTTAGTAAAAAAAAAACTACAGTAGAACCTCAATATACGGAATAATGGTGAGGAGAAGTCATTCTGCTAAATGAAAATTACGGTTAATTTAGACTTTATATTTATTATTATATAAAATTTATCCTATGTTGTATAAGTATAGTTGTGTTTTAAAATTATTAAGGCTTGGCATTTGAAGTAATCATTCCTTGATTTTTGCGGTTTAATATTATTTTTCTTACTTCACTTTTAATTTTTCTTAAATTTATGACATTATGGAAATCAACAATTTTCTGCTCGCAGAAATTCAGGAGGATATTAATTATTTCCATAAATCTGTTTATAAGATAATCCTCACATTTTTCATTAAATTAATATTATATAATTATCATCTCTTACCTTCGTACAATATATGGCATATGTATGACTTTAATTTTGGTACATACAAATTTTTGGAAGTATGAGCATGGTTAATCACGAAAACGGATAATTGAGGTTCTACTGTATCTATATTAGAAGAAGAAGAAACAAGTTTATGAATTACAAGTTTAAAAAGTTTGAAAAGGAAGGGTGATGGGAAAATATGTGATCTAGGTGATGAATGGTGTAACTATTAGATAATACCAAAGTAATCAAAGTAAATCAAGGTAATATCAACAAAAATTAAAGTTTCTAAACAATAGCTTTAGTTAATTATTCAAAAATTATTACATCCAGTTTGATATTAAAAATAATAATATTATCATTGATATATAAAACTATTTTATGTTAAATTTTTAGTGATAATATTAATTTAAAATTAAAATATTGCTTTTTGACCTGTTGTCAGTGTTTTATAATAGTTCAGTTTTATGCACAGCTCTTTGTGGTGTGATTGTTTCTTAGCATGCAAAAAAAAAAAATATTCTGATAAATTTTTATTTGCATTTGTAAATTTTAGAATAAAATAATCTTAGTAAAAGAACATAAATAAAAAATATTATCTGTAGTTATAATTTTAATAGTATAATTTTCTTTAGGTTGGGAGGGTGATGAACTGATTAAACATATTAAATAGCATTTATAAAAAAAAACGTATTAAAGGTCTTCTAATTTGTCACTATAGGTCAATTACATAGTTATTAACTACATTAGTTTAAAGTTATAATCATTATGATAATACTTTAAATTATATTTACTGTTACTTAACAGTTGATACTATTGTCAAAGTACTAGCTACTGTATGTAAAATGTATTTTTATTCGTTTATCATGGTATAATGTTCTGTGTGTCAATTGCATTATTGATGATGCATTTATACATGAAAATAATTTGTATATTATATAGAGCTTGGTTGTAAATGCCCTGAAAATATAAAAAAAATTGTATTTATGACCTAAAAACTTTATAAAATACCCTTTTGAAAAATGCATTTAACATTAAATGTTTTATTATATTTTATTTATTCATTTAACATTTTAAAATTATGTAGGTACATTTACTATTTATAATTTTGTAAATATTAAAAAACAAGTAAAACTTAAATTTCACAAATTTTTTTTGTTTTGTAATGTACAATGAAAGCTTCTTTAATATTTATAAATTTAAATGATCGACGGTTAACTGCCAACAAATTTTACATACTGAAAATGACCTCTTTACATCAACAGAGGTGATAGAAGCAAACATGTAATCATTTGTAGAATATGTAACATATGAAACACACATCCCGTACTTTTAATATATCCGCTAAACAACTAAAAACATACTATATTCGGCCATATGCACTACTAGTATAATATTATCCCTCGATGAGAGAATACTCTAATAAAAGTTGTATGTAATTTATATGGCTAATTAGTTGGTGTGACATAAAGATATATTTCAGCTTTGTCTGAATTAAAACCTGATTGCCAAATGTTATAAAGTTCAAAATGAAAACTATTTTTTACAACAACTTTTATTTCAATGAAGTCAATTTTTTTAGTTTTAATACAAGAAATTTATCAAAAATGTCTTAAAAAATTAAAAAATGTCAAAAATACATATAAAGTACCATATAGAATCCCCTAAAAATACAAAAAAAAAATGCTGTGATTACAACATTGACTACTGGAAACACATTTATTACTTGGAAAGCATCTTTTATGACAAATGCTTTAAGAAATCTGTGTCTTAATTATTAATATAGTTACGGTATAATTATAAGAATTGAAATGTATTTGCTTCATTATAGTACGAGTTAATATTACATTTAATGTAATATTCATGTTTACATTAATAATATTTTTAGTATGTATTAAAACTAATACAGATATATCTTTTAATAGAAAGTTGTCAAAGGTCCAAACTCTTGGTCCATGTCAGATTTGGGACATGCCATCATACTACTTGTTCATTTTCACAGTTTGTGTAGCTTTGTGTATGCTTGCAACTTAAATGATGAAATTCCAAGAGCTGTTAAAGTAACTGGTGTTTACTTTAGACGTAGGAGTAAAACAAGCTTCAGAGGTATGTCACTTACATAAATTCAATATTTATAATTTATAAATGTTTTTGTGATAGTATTTGTTATGAATTATTTCATAAAATATCTACTATATTATTTATAGTGTATTAATATCTTAAATAATTATTGTATTGAAGGTTATGACGACAATGCTATATCTGATGACGAAGGTCTTGAACCTATAATGGAACGAATGAAAAAGTTAAGTGATGTAGTACCAGCTTCAGAACAAGAACGTATTCAACGGTATGAGCTGGTTCAGAGTCAATTATGTGATAGTGATACTTCTTCTGATAATGGTTTGGATCCAGATGTTAAACCGTTTGTTGAAGATTCTGGATATTTTTACTTGGATTGCTCACGTCGACAATTTGCTCAACAGTCATCTTTTATTTTGCAGGTATTTTTATTTTTAAAAATAATTTTTATAAAAATTTAGTACATTTTTGGTGATTTTTATTGTATGTCACCTAACTCACAAGGAAGTTTTCTTGTATAGTGGAGTATTTCAGTTGATTTATTTTATTTTCTGAGTTACTACTTATGTATGTAGGCTTTTAGCTAATAAATTATCAATAGAAGCTTAAGCTTTATAAAGGTCAAATTGATACTTTGGCATTTGTGAGTAAAGCTAAGGTTCCTGGATAGAATTTGCATTACATTTTTCTATTTATTATTTCATTGTACACTACCAATTTTGTGTATAACTATTCCATATATTGAATAAATAAGATTCATATGCTACTAATTTATAATTTAAATTTTTATTTTTAATAAATGTATAAACATTATATAATAATAATATTTAGTATTAAACATTTATTCATTTAATATAAGTTAATATTAATAATAAGTTAATGTTTTGTACAAGAGTCTGAAAAAATTAATAACTTCTGCAGTAGACTGACAAACCTTATCAGATGACTAGGATATTATTTAATGTATAAGAAAAAATATAATTTTAAATAATTTTAAAACGGTTAATATCTTGTTTAAAAAAAATGTACTATTTTCATATAAATACTGAGTTAATTTGTGAAATTAAAAATAAAAATTTCTAAGATTTATCTAATTATCAATTGTGATATGGCATGCTTATTATTATTATTATGGCATACTGTTTTTATTATTGAGAAATAATTGATAAGTCAACTAATTATTATTTTATATATATTTCAGGAATTTTCGTGGGATCATCATGGCTTCTTTTTGATTAACCGTTTATTTAATGACATTGGATCATTATTGGATAAAAAATTCAAGACTGCTTATAACATGACATACTATACAATGGGTGGCCGCCCTCATATAGACACTACAAGATTTCGTAGAGCAATTTGGAACTACATTTATTGTATTTATGGGATAAGAAATGATGATTATGATTATGAAGAAGTTACTCAATTACTTCAAAGCCAATTAAGAGTATTTGTTAAAACAGCTACCTGTTATCCAGAACGTTTGAACAAAACACATACAGAGAATACATTAAAACATTTTGAATTAAGTGAAAAGGTAAATATTTAATTGGTTAACAAAAATCTAAATATTGAAATCTATTGAATTTCTGGTAACACTATGATTATTATTATAAATTTTACAGATTCACATAAATTTAATGATTATGGAAGCTCGAATGCAATCAGAACTTCTATTTGCTTTGCGTGCAGTCATGAACTACATGTTATGATATAAATGGTAGAATTTACTGCACAACATACGTTACAAATTTTTATTGTTATAATTTTTCAACGAGTATACAATATTGGGTATACGATTTACATTATTAAGGAAACCATAATGTTTTCATATTTTCTTTGCTTAACTTTTATATTAGCCATACAAGAACTATTTATTTAAACCTACAACATTTAAGAGAGAGAGAGAGAGAAATGTTACATTATTATCATTGTTTTTGAAAATTTATATTTTATATTAACTGAACATTTTTTTAAAATTAAATCTGAATGTGATACGATTTTATACTGACATTATACCATTATTAAAAACATATATTTTAGTTATTATCTTTTGACTAATAATATTCATATTTTTATATAAATACTCAATGATTTTTAAATTTTGCTTCCATCAATGTTTTACAATTGTTTGTATTTTGTTTTAATTTATAATTGTTTTTTTTTTAAAGTACAAATTTCAGAAATGTTAATCAAACCTATTGTTACCTCAAATTTAATAATAAATATATAGATATATAATTATACATTTAAATCCCAAACAAAAATGAAACAAACCAATATTTTATTGGTTTTTTTTTTTTTTTTTGTTAATCATTAATTAAAATATATATATTTATATTTATATTTTGTTTTTGTGTTTATTAAAAATGTAATGACATATTTAGAAAAGTTTATTACTGAAAAGTTAATCTCTTTTTTTTTTCTTTAAATAGAAAACCAGAAAAATAAATTAATAACCAAATAAACGAGCAATTTTTTCTGTTAATGAATAAAAGTTATTACAATTTATTAAGATCAAGGTTGTACATTTTAGTAAATTAAAGGCTAAAATTAAAAATAAAATACCTAAATTGTGTTTAAAAAGATTTAGAACTATTTTGAGCAATAAATTTTATTTTTTTAATATTTCTACATTTAATTTTTAATTTTTTAACAAAATGTGTTTAAGTAACATTGTTTTTTCAGTTCTTTTGATTTCAATGAAAGATATATAATTTTGTTCTTATTTCATTGAACAAAATAAAATATTTATAAATATCCTAATATTAACATTAGGAAAATTGATCAATATCAAAATTCTAACTGATGAAAATACTGTAATGATTAAAAACTTAACAATTAAAATATTTTTCTCTATTATCTTGTAAAGACCCCTCTTTAAATTCCTTCGACCTCTTAGCTGATCAAACTCTTTTAAAGTTATGTTTATTTTTACGAGGTCTAGGGAACTCAACCTCGGTGTGTGATACTTAATATCTATGGAATAGAGTTGCCTCATATAAAAGTACAATGTGAATGTTCACTATAAATAAAATATATTATAAATATTGTACTTTAAGATAATGGATGTTGATATTAGGAATAAGTGAGGACCGTAGTGGACTTGATGTTGATGGTCTTCTATCTAGCGTCCCTCTCTGTATGGCTCGACTCCCTGACTTCCTCCGCTACTCCTGGTTTTCTTTTATATTTCATTTCATATATCCATACCAAAACTCAAAGTCAGCATACGTCATGACCTTATTCCTTTTCTACACACTCAACACATTAGCCAGGTTATATTTAAGGAATAATGTAAGATGTTGATATACAACAATTTTTACAATCTCTAACATATGTCTACATAGTAAATAACAAATATTCCAGTGGAAAATTATATTATAGTTTATAACAGTACATTTTTTTTTTTTTATTAACAGATTTTACTAATTATAATATAATATATGAAGTTATTTGGTCAAAATATCATATCCGTCATCAGTAATAAGAATAGTATGTTCAAATTGGGCACATCGAGAATTGTCCTGGGTTACAATAGTCCAACCATCTTCTAACATTTCAATATCTTCACTGCCTTGACAAATTACAGGCTCAACGGTAAACACCATACCGGGTTCCATTATACCTGGATATTCATTTTGAGAAGAGTGAAAAATAACAGGCGGGCCATGAAAATATGTTCCTATGCCGTGCCCAGTGATGCTTGACAAGACTTTATGTTTGTTTCTTATAGCGCACAACTCTATGGCTTCACCGATCGCCGAAAAATTCACGCCAGGGCCGCACGCTTTTATGCCGCTATACATGCACTGTTCAGCAACAGCCATCAATGTTCTACCGTATTTATCCACATTGCCGACGCAGTAGGTAGCCGCACAGTCACCGTGAAAACCGTTCAGATAAACAGAAACGTCCACAGATATGAGGTCGCCGTCAACTAACGGTCGGTCATCGGGCACCCCATGGCACGCGACGTTGTTGATGGACGTGCAGACGGATTTCCTGAACCCTTTGTAGTTCAACGGTGACGGATACGCGTTGTTGCTGATGATCAGATCGTGCACGAAACCGTCGATGTCGTCAGTCGTAGCGCCCACTTTGAGTTGACTCTCCGCGCTATTCAGCACGAACCTGGCGAACTTGCAGCTCTGCCGTAACATCGTGATCTGACCACTGTTCTTGATGTCCGGCGGACTGTAGTGGTCGGGTTCGTCGGTCACGTTGCCGGTCTTAGCGTACGAAGGTAACGTTACGTATTCAGGCACCGACCTGGGACCGCTGACATTGCCCAGGTCCACTACGTCGTAGGCGCCGAAATCCACTTTAACCAATTTCGACCAAAACGATCTTGACGGTGCATTGACGACGAACCCGAACCGTCTAATTAGTGCGTTCCTACAGATGTTCATGATTTAAGCAGTTGGGACGATATGCACGTCTTACCACACCCGATCTGTCGATCGCAGAACACGTAACTACAGTCGTGACAAACTGCGAAAACATGAGAACCAAAATGGTGTAGTAATAATCGTAATAAATTTTGAAATGCGTTTTGAAAATCTATCGTTTTAAATTCCCGTACGTGATACTACTTATCAACAATTACTTTACGCCGATAGATGATAACGGTTACGGTTTTCGTTATCAAACGGTCCAGGACCGCACGTTTTCTGTTTTAGTTATCTACCGTGATAAAATATTTTTATTTTATCATACTGCACATAATTTTAACCATCGAGATCCATCATCATCAAAATCGATGCCTATACCACAGAACAGGGGTGTCATTTCAATTTTTTTTCCGGGTATGCGAAACTTTAGGCAGACCAATTCTGACATTTGACCAGGCCACAAAAAAAAAAAAATGATCTATACAAATGTAGGTAACCTAAGCAAACCTATATAAATATTTTTCCCTTCCCTTTTATAATTCTAATTGAAATTACTTATTGACTAATAATTAAAACTTGAAAAAAATATATAGTTACTATTAAATATATAGTATATGAAAACACAATGCATAAGTTTATTATAACAGTAAATTGGAGTATTAATGGCGGGCCAATTACCAAATTTTTTCAAGTTAGAGGTGCCGTTGCACACTCTGCCCCATCTCAAATGACGCCGTGGTTCAGAAGGAGTTTTGGCTTCAAATCACAATCTCTTAATTATACTATTTTAACATCCTTAACCTCTCATTGAAAATTCCTGGACATTACACTGAGTGAATTACATATTTTATGTCGACACTTTGTAACAAATTTTATTTATATACATATATAACCTACTGGGTATCAACATTATCATAGACACTTATATACGGTTCTCATCAGAAGATTTAGTTGTTGGTACATGACATTAATTTTCGGAAGATTTTACTCCTTCGCATTTAAATTAATAATCTTTTAACTTTTGTTTGGTATATTGTAAACATCCAAAAAAAAAAAAATTACATAATTCGCACAATAAATTGTATTAGCTATTAACCATAACGCGTTGCTATGACGTTTTAAAATAAATTGTTCAACTAACAATAGTTCGTACAAAATATTTGTTATACCAACAACGGAGTCGAGAGTGAACACATACAATTTAAAACTAACCTGAAGCCATTAATACTTTAAAGTTTCAAGTGTAAGCGACTTTAATTTGTCAGTTAACTATTTTCCCCAAATCCGTTGATCAGTGGTCGATTTGGCAACTTCTGAAATATTGGATTCGCCAGTCTTTGGAGATAGTCTATGCAGATATCTGTCGAGCAGATATTTCTACCAGGTAAGGACTTTTAATCTTTTTCCAACCTTTTTAAGCCTAGATTATTAAATATTTAATAAAATAATAATTTTTAAAAAAAATTTTAAGATGTATTTAAGGGTCAATTTTTAGGAAGATTTTGGGTCAAATGAAAATAAACAATAATTTTTTGTAATTTTTGAAAAATTTACTTAAGTTTTATAAAATTGTTTCTTAAATAAATTATTGACAGTTGCCAGATACAATTTTTTTCCTATAACATGTTTCATTTTAGTATATTATACTCATAAGGGTGTGGATACCTGTATTTAAGGGAATTCCAACTATAATTTTGGACTTTATAATAACAAAACGTGTAGGTATATTTAATAAATTATAATGTAGAAATAGTTAAATAAACATTAATCAAATTTTTCAATTAATATTGTGGTTATTAGTCCCATGAATATGTTTTCCTCGAACCTAGTATATTTCTCTCAGACAGCTATAATTATTTATGATTTGTACTTATGTAGTCAATTTTAGCTGATGTATTATCATACATTTTTACACGAAAATTTAGTTTTTGTTTTTATTATATGAAACATGATTTATTTTTTGCCGAATATATTAGAATAAATTACATTTAATTTATGCAACATCAGTTAAAATAGGAAACCCTTATTTTTAGACATACATTTTAGGGGCCCTGTTTACTACATTTCGGGGGATGCCCGGAAACACATATGACTATATTCTGATAACGGATAATTTTGTTTTTGCAAGTAGTAATTGGCTTATATTTTTTATTTAAAAATAACAGATTATTAGTTATATTATTACAGCATAAAATATTCTGTGATTATACATAATTTGTGAAAGCTATAATATAATTTAATTATTTTTTTTTTATTTTGAAAAAAATACAATCTAAATAGTTTATATACAATAAGAATTTATGTTAAATTATATTATTATTTATTATTATTATATTTGATATTATATTTTTATTATTTATGTTAATATTCAACGAGAGTTGAAGTATATTATCATTTATAAATCAAAACGAGTGAGGTCGACTGTGTATATCTGTGTACGTAATAAATTCCTTAATAAATTATCTTAATAGATTATACATATATTCCGTAATAAAATCACGAGACAATCTCACGATCACTCCTTATTGAGGTATAAAAAAAAATGTATTGTCTTTCCCAGCTCGTTCATATAGCTGAATATGTTTCTAGTTTAGTGTGATGTCTTGAATAACCTCCTCAAGAGGACCCATCTTGACGTGGTGGGGGGGGGGGCTTGCGACCCTCAAAAGTTCCGAGAGCTATGCCAACGGTAGTTTACTACCAACAGGATTTCCCATATTGGATAGGTCGACGAACTGAGGGCTGACAAAGCGGTTCTCAACAAAAGGTAGGGCGGGCTCTTCAGCCTCGGGTGGCAGCTTTACTAGAGGAAGGAAAACCTTGATCAAAAACCCCCTGGCAGTAGGGTTAAAATGTAGTGAAGGAAATCACATGAAAAACCACAATATGAGTTACTATCAGTAGAGTATTGTTACCATCTCAGGAGCTTTGGAACTCCAGGGGTCGGCAGGAGTGGGTGGTTTCGGTGTCAAAACCGGTTCCAACGTAGCGGGCTCACTTCGGTCGTCATCAAGCGACCGTGAGGGTACGGGTGTGGCTGACCAGGCCCCCGTCACTCTATCCGTTACTGGTGCGAAGAATTTCGGGCCACGACGATGGCAGCGAACGACTTGGTCACCGGACGTAATCCTCACGTCGACCACCGTCGGGAAACCGCATACCGCCACTCGGGATGGTTATACCCAGACGGAACGTCGGTGGTCCGGGAATCGAGATACCGGTGCTTCGACGACCAAGAAAATGGGAGAGATAATGTACGCGGACGTCGGCGTTCAGGTGGATGGGCTGCCGGTGACCGCGGAAGCGTTCACCGAGTTGGAACACCTGACGCCTTCCCCGGAACTTGGAACATTAAAGCACTGGCTGAGAACCGTAAGGGACTATATGACCCGTATCAATTCTGAAGACGAGTCCGAGGAGGACGCGGTCGTGACTGAGTTGGAAGAGACCGCTTCCACCTTCAGTTTCCCCAGTACGTTGCTGTCGGGCCTCTCCGATGAGTCCGCCGCGTCGAAGCCGCAGAAACCACCGATTGCCGTCCAAGGATACCCTTGCCCCCCTGACGCCGTGGCGAAACCGGACGGTTGGCGGTTCCAGTGACGACCTGTTGCCGACAAGTTGCATTCTCGAGATGGCGCGTGAGATCGCCCCCGTTGTCGTTCTCCACGTGCCCAAAACTATCCACATGCCTCAGACCGTGGTAGTGTCGAGAGACCATGGTTTTGGACGCGTGGAGGTCGAACGCGTCAGCGTTGAAGGGTGGAAGAACTCCTCAAACGCTGTTCTATACCTAGATAGGTTGAATGACGGTGGGGGAGCGATCGAACCGACCATCTCCGAAGTGCTATTAAATCCGAAATCGGTAGTAACGCCACAGAGACCATATGCGTAATCGCATGTTTAATCGGAAGTAGATGGAAGACATCGTGATCCAGAACATTTTCATTTTATACATTTTTATAAATTTTACACATTTTTATACATTTTATACATTTTTATATATTTTTATACATTATTTTATACCTTTTTTTTTATGGCACTACTTTTTTCAACTACCTAATTTAATTTGTCAATTATTTTGGTTTTTTCCCTTCACATGGTTTTTTTTACCATTTTTATAACAAATTTATTTTTTCATATTACCAAGTTTTCTCTTATTTTATGAAAATTTTCACTTTTCTTTATATATTTTCATAATTTTTATAACAATCCACTTTTTCCGTGTAAAAATGTTATATTCTTATGATGTTAAAATTAGTGTTTTATTAAATAAATTATTATTTAATATATATATTATATGATTTGTCATGTTTTGGTTTTTTCTTTCTTCACAGAGTTTTTCCTCTTAATCTCTAAACCTTTAATTTTAAAATGCTGATTTCTTTTTACAATATTACATATTGTATTAAAATATATAATATACTTAATTATAAGTATATTGTGTTATATGTTAATATTTCAATATTACAGTGTTACCGAGTATTCACCTTGTTTTTTACTAAATTAACAATTTTCACTTTTGTCCATAATGTTAGTATTTTTTTAATATTTTTATTAATTCTACTACCCTACGGTTTTTCTGTAAGTGATAATTTTTTTGTAATATTAATAAATTGGGCATGGGTATTGTAGTAGTAAGATAGTAGTAAAATTGATTCCAGTATTGCACTAAGATATATCGAAAATTATATTTTGAAGAATCTAAAATTGCACTAAAAAAAATGTTATAATTCATAAAATTACGTATATTTTATCTACCTATATCTATTAACTTACTACAATTTATATATTATATATAACAGACTCATCAGCATAGGCGCTACTAGCGAGGTGTTGGAGAAGCTATAGCAAAATTGAAAAATTGTATAAAAATACTGTTTTTCTTATTTTATGTTATTTTTATTGATGCTTTTATCAAAAAAAAAAAAAAAAAAAATGAATTGTTCATAACTATTAGTTAATTAAATCGTCATAAATAGTTGGATAGTATTCCATTAATAATCGCAAGATAATATTAGTGTGAATATTATATATTATATATTCCATATTTTTTTAATTTGTGTATTTCTCAGCACTGTGTGACCTAATTAAAATAATATAATGAAATAAATAGGTATGTTACAATTTATGCTTGTTAATATTTATAAATTAAAATATTAATGTATGTGTGTTGTTATGGTAAATTTAATGATTAAATTGAGATATGGTA